CAGGCGTTGGTCAATCATGATACCCAAGTTTTTAGTATACTGTAACCTGTCAATTTTGTACAAGAACAGTCAGGAATTGGGGGATTAGCACAGGAGTGGATCTTTATTTGGAATTCGGGTGGTGGTTGAGTGTGTGTATACTTGGTTAAGCATACGTAATTGGACTTGGAGACATTTAGTGTGAGGAGGTTACGCTTGAGTCAAGCTGCAATCTTAGACAGGCCGATTTCGGCTGACGTATTAACTTTTGTCCAAGTGTTATCAGCAAAGACTATGGCAGTATCATCCGCGTATGAGAAAATGTGATCGATCTCAATAGTCATATTGCATAGGTTATTAATATATATAAGAAACAATGTCGGACCAAGGACACTTCCCTGCCCGACACCGTATGAAATTCTTTCTTGTGAGCTAGTAAACTCCCCTATTTTGACTATTTGTTTGCGATTGCTTAGGTAGGATTTGAACAGATCGAGAGGGGTTCCCCTTATGCCTATGTTTTCGAGCCTGTCTAGTAGTATGGGGACAGATACTGTGTCAAAGGCCTTTTTGAGGTCGAGGAAAACCGCCAGACATTTGCTACCTTTATCCACTTTGTCAACTATAGTAGATGTTAGAGACAGGACCGCATCCTCAGTAGACCTTCCCTGCCTAAACCCAAACTGAGAAGGTTACAGAATGTTATACTTAGAAAGGTATTTAGTTAAACGTGAATTTAAGAGTCTTTCTAGGATTTTTGAGATGGATGGCAGAACTGAAATTGGCCTATAGTTTGACGGGTCTGACCTGTCTTCACACTTGTACACAGGCGTTATTAGGGCTACTTTCAAAGCATCCGGGAAAAGTCCCTGCTCAAAGCAAAGGTTTGTCAAATAAGTTAAGATTGGCACAATTTGTTCGTGTGCAGCTTTAAGGAATTTAACTGGAATGTGGTCCCAACCTGGAGCACTATCTGGTTTTAAGCTCATTAGTGTAGCATGAACTTCACAAAAGTCTGTGTCGAGCAGGGCAAAAGAAGAGGCCGATGTACAGGAAGATAAAAATGAGCTAGGATCATTATTAGCTGCTGTAGAATACGGAGGTGGTGAGATATATTAGATATATGTCGTCTTACTTTTGCAATTATTATTAATGCATAGCATGTCTATCTATATTTCTCTGTCTACGTCTGTAACGGAACTACGGAATTTGAGGTTGCAATCTACGGAATTTTTATAAACTTAACAAGAATTTTTTTTTATCATGAGTGTGAACTTGCCGACAACGTCATTCTCTCTCTCTCTCTCTTCTTCTTTTATTTATTTATTGGACAACACAACAGATTACATCATGACTTAAAGCTATAACTTACAATAATAATAGTGTAATACAAGACATAATCCTTATACGTGTTATCACGGCATGCCAAGATTGAGAAACAAACATTTTAAATAAAATTGCTTAAACTAACAGGCTCATAAATCCAACAAATTAAGAACTATAATTTTAGTGAATATCAATCAAAGGGGATGTCCTTGAGAATGCCTTTCAAAACATTTCTAAAGTGAACCAGACTAGAGTTGAAGATATCAAGGTTGGTAAAGCGAAAGCTATAATTCTCATAAAGTCGACATAACCTTGATAGGGGTTGATTCCGGGAGATATTATTTCGCGACAGGGGTATGTCAAATATTTTTTTCATAGGTCTTCTATGTGGTCTGTATTAAATTATATATAATAATTAATTATATGCTGTCTGTATTAAAATCATAACATTTTTGCTCATAAATATAAATATTTTGTGAAGTTAATCGATTTCAAATTTTAATAGCTTAGATATTTTGCATTACATTACGTTTATTTCGAATTTAGAACACTTGGACAATAGGCAGTTAATATAAGCGCTTATAATTTTTTTTATAGATATTCAATCATCTATATATATCACTTATGACTCAAATGTCCATGCTGTACCAATTGTTTTTACAATTATTAAAAAAATCCACCGAATAAATCTTCGCTTTTCCTCGATCTTTTTTTTTTCTCATTTTTCAAAGTTGTTAGTTGTATAGTTTTTCATTGTTACATAAATAACCCGAGTCTGAAACACCGTAATATATCAAATAAACTAACAAAAACCAGAAAATAAAATCTGTGTTAATAAGTCGTTATAATCAAGTTTGTAACGTATTCTTTTAGTATAACTATCCACAAATATTAAAGTGAGTATAGTTATTTTATTTGTTTTTTACTAAAACTATTTAATTAAAAGAAAACAGTTAATTTTAATAAACTTTTTATGGTATTTTTTTCTTACATGTGCAGCTTGATTCGATGTTATACTACAATTAAACTTACAACAAGGATTTTCCATGACAGAAAGAATTTTCAACTAAGTTCATAAACAAAAATTGTCGATCCTCAACGGAATGGATATTTTAAAATAGCATCTACGGAATTCTACGAAACGCAAAGATTAGATAAAACCAAATTTGTTGAAAAAAAAATCACCTAATCGACATTTAACAAATTTGATTTTAGTAAATTTTTAAGCTTATCAGTGTATTTAATGCATTTTTAACAATGGTGCAATTATATTCAAGCAAGGTGCAGTTTTCTTATACTGTAAAAAGTACCCAGTTCTAATTATTTGAAGTAATATCGACGTTATAAGGTGAACGAATTTAACTATTTTTTATTTCTAAACTACATGGGTGCAGTTTAATATAAATAATTAATATTTTTGAGATGTGCTATTTAAATTACGTCTACCAGTATTTTTTTTATATATATATACTCCAAATTCATAATCTGGGGTGGGGTTGGGGGGTGCGGATTTCGGGCTGTCTTGTCGTCTATACCAGGCTGGTGCAACTTCCATAGTAAAAATTATATGTATTACAGGGGTCAAATTTTAATGACGGTTATCTCTTCTTATATTGTAGCAAATTTTGTTTACTTTAAAAACGTCCCAAGAAAGTTTTTTCAAAAACTAGTCCTTTAGGGTTATAATCGCCAAAATTTGAAGAAAAAAAAAACTATTTCTTCGCAGTTTTTTCGATTTTTGACAAATTTGCGTTCGGCGCTCGAGGTCACAAACTTGGATTATTCGTTGGGCCAACATCATAAACAATAAACAAGTCTGCAAAAAATCAGAACTACCGGATTTGACGCATGCTGTGATGTATAAAGTTACTGGACTAATTTAGATATTTTTCGCTTCGTTTTTAGTAGATATTAGATATTCTGCGATGACTTATATCAACACGGTATCGTAAAATCGTAATATCTAATACATAGTTAGTTTGTCGTCCGATATATAGATATTTAATATTGTACTGATATATAGATATTGTATCTATATACGATTTGTATCGCCCACTCCTATTCCTTACGATGTGACATTGAGTGAAAAAAATCGATTAATAAAAAATCGATTTTTTTCTTTGTGATATTAACCGATTAAGGAAAAATCGCTTTTTATTAGAAGAAAGAATTTTGCGAAAAAAATCTCTTATTCGAAAAATGCCTGCTTTCCTATATATTATTAAAACAACGAGATTAGTATAGTATTAACAATTTATCAGAATAAAAATGAAATAAAATTATAAGTATAAGAAATTATCAGAACGACAATCTTCTGGTTTCAAAACTAAACTACAAAACAATTTTTTTAACCTATAAATAAAAAATAAAAAATTTAAAAATAATTACTGCCACAAATGTTCAGTGCCCTTTAACAATTACTTATTAAAACCAAAATAAAAAGAAACGATAGTTCTTTTAAAGTAAGTTTCAACAAACAAAAAATATAAATATCATTATTGCCACAATTGTTCAGTACCATTTACATTGGATTAGAATGAAAATAAAATAAAACTATAAGGTTAAATAATCAAACGACAACCTTTTCGTCTCAAAACTAAAATACAAAATAAATCTTTTTTTAAACTTTAAGTTAAAAAAAACAATTAATAATTATTGGCACTAATATTCAATATCATTTACATTGGACTAGAATGAAAATAAAATAAAAATATAATTATAAATAATCAAAAATGACAACCTTTTGGTCTCAAAACTAAAATACAAGACAAATCTTTTTTTAAACTTGTGTAAACAAAAAAGTAAAAAAAAAAATATTGCCATGAATTTTCAGTTAGAGTTTAAACTCTAAGAAGAGACGAAGAAGAATTGTGATGTTTTTAAAAACAATAATTTTACTAAAATTCTTCTTCGTCTCTTTCCTAAAATACGGTTTCGTTTTTTCGCTTTCGAAAATAATCTTTTGGCTGGCGCGGAACTGACCATCACAGAGAGGTGTTTAAGAGCCAACTCGGTTAGTTTAGGGAAAGTATCTTCAGAGCTTCTCCATATATTGAGGGCATCTGCCTTGAGATTTGATAGTGGTGCAGCAATACATAGGTCCAATTCAGTATATTTGCCAATTGACGTGTTGGCCACTTATATTTTTTCATTATAAAATCCTTTCATCAGACACTTTTAGATGTTTTACAAGACATTTTTATTGTTTAACAATTATTTACACTCTCCAAAGAAAGAAAGAAAACCACAGAATACTTTTACTCTTAGCGGCGAAAGAAAACTGTTGTAAACATACGAAGGCATACATAAAGATAAATATAGGTGGCGCCGTCGTTTGATCGACTTGTTCATGTCAGTGAACTTACTACGCGTTTTTAAATCCTTCGCACAGATTACAAAAATCGATTAAAACGTGTAATTTACATAATCGATTTAAAAAAATCGATTATAAGAAAAAACAATCGATTAATATAAAATCGATTATTTTTTCACATCTCTACTAGTCCTACTCATTTGTCATTTTGTCAAACTGTCGTTGTCAATTGCGTCAATTGTCATTGCTTATTGCTTGTATAATGTGTATTACATAAAACACGCGTGAGTGTTTCTATATAGTTTGTGTATAAAACTAACAATTTCTTTCGAATTATTTGCATGTAATATCCAAATGCTTTGTTCTCTAGCCTAAACTTGAAATGAGAATCGGTTGGATTCACAGGTTAGTAAACAAATGGCCCGGAAAGAAAACGTTTGGGATGTATAGATTTTTACCTATGTTTTTCATACTTGGTGCAGCTTTAGAATTTTCAATGATCAACTGGAAAGTAGGCGAAGTTAATTTTTATAACACTTTCAAAAAACGCCAGGCAAAAGATCTCGTAGAAGAAAAAATAAAGAGATACACAACAGCTTAAGATGCCAGCAGGAGCTACTTGGGGCCAATACATTTCATTTTCAATAGCTGCTATGTTATCAATGCTAACTGGATCGCAGGTAGTTCATCAATATTATAAGCCCTTAGTTGATTTAAATAAATACATCAACAAAGAGCTCGAAAATTTACCTGAGAATTTACAAGTAAAGATCAGAAAAGAACTTCAAGATGATGGTGTGCTTAATTAAAGAATGTTATTTAATTTTGTATAATATAAATATAGTATAGTTTATAAATTATTTGCTTTTATTTCTTACTCTATTATTATAATATAATTTGTTATACAATCACATTACTGAGTTCATTTCCTTTGCACTTTGGTAATTATTTATCTGAGAGTAAATAAAGTGTCAAAAAAAAAGGGTTTTGAAAATATTATACTATTCCATATACTCTGTAAACAGTGGACAAGCAAAATAGTTATTTATTTTATTTGAATTGCTTGTAAGTTATACTCATATTATTGACAATAAAAACTACAATAAATTATGAATTAAATAATAAATTATGAATTAAATAATAAATTATGAATAAGGAATAAATCATTGTCGCCCTTTTATATGAATATTAATAGTTCATCAGTGTGTTATATTCGTAGTCCAGTCTAATCTCTTAAAGAGTTAACTTAAGATACTAAGGGTTTGGTCTCAAACTCTACTCATGAGAGAATTATATTTGTTGGTGCGTAGATGAAGTGCCAGTTGGATCAAGTGTGCGAGAGGTTGTGTTACTCTAGCGGAGTGTTTATCGATGGTGACGGGTTAGAATTGAGGGAATATTGAGAAATCCCCCACTCATTCGTGCAGTATAAAGATCAGTGTAGGTGCCGAGCGCATGAGATTCCAGCTAAGTCATTTTACATAGTAATAGTGCTAACAGTATTGTGGTTCTTTTTTTTATTTATTATTAGAAAGAGTGTTACATTAGTTTAGATTAGTACGACGGGCTGTTTTCTGCAACTCCACGTCTATGCGCGTATTTTGCGTGTGGGCAGGAATAATGTGATTATTCGAGCCATGAGATCTCCCCGAAGAAGCTCAACAGTCCTCTGATGTTGCATGCAACTTCGGGGAGTGATCCTGGCGTGGTGAGATGTTTGGCCCTGTATGTAGCGACCTCCGGACATTTCAGTAGCACATGGGCCGCCATACAGGCAACTGGAGAGACAGACCTCCAAATGCATGCGGCGGGACTTACGCAACTTCAATACAGCTCGTATTGAAGAAGCGATCGAGCGGAACCAAGGCTCCAAAGTCTTTGCCAGAGATCTGTCTGCCAGAAAAAGCCAACTGTCGAAACTGAAGACCGAGTGTGGCAGCATCGTTTCCGGGGCACCTTGAGATATTGAGTGAGATTGAGAGGTTCCATAGACAGTGTACACGTCATCGTTGGAGCCACACGCAAGTGTGAGTAACGATCCAAGAGCGAGTCTTATCCGACACTATTCCGAAGATATCCCGGACGTCAGTCTGAGCGAGATTAGAATGGCTCTCCAGCATCTTAAAAACGGCAAGGCCCCAGGCGAGGATGGAATTACAGCGGAGCTTCTGAAAGCGGGTGGAAAACCAGTACTGGAAGTCCTTCAGAGGCTCTTTAATTCCGTCCTCCATGGTGGCATTACACCGGAGGCGTGGAGCAGAAGTGCGGTGGTCTTGTTCTTCAAGAAAGGTGACACTGCTCTCTTGAAGAACTACAGACCGATTTCCCTTCTGAGCCGCGTCTACGTGCTGTTTTCGAGAGTCATTACGAATCGTCTCGCACGCAGACTTGACGACTTCCAGTCTCCCGAACAAGCCGGTTTCCGAAAGGGCTTTAGCACCATAGACCACATACATACCCTTCGGCAAGTTGTACAGAAGTCCGAGGAGTACAATTTGCCACTATGCCTGGCGTATGTGGACTATGAGAAAGCCTTTGATTCCGTCGAAATTTGGGCGGTGCTGCAGTCCCTTCAGCGGTGCCAAGTTGACTGTCGGTATATCGAAGTGCTGAAGTGCTTGTACAGTAGGGCTACGATGGATATCCGAGTACAGAACCAGAGTACGAAACCTATCCAAATGCAGAAAGGTGTAAGACAGGGTGACGTTATATCCCCGAAATTCTTCACCGCTGCATTGGAATACGTTTTCAAGCTTCTGTACTGGAAAGGATACGGTATCAACATCAATGGCGAGTACATCACTCACCTTCGATTTGCCGACGATATAGTCCTTATGGCAGAATCGCTGGAGGACCTAAGCACTATGCTCAATGACCTCAATAGTGTCTCCCAACGGATAGGTCTTAAGATGAAGATTGAGAAAACAAAAATCATGTTTAACGTCCATGTCACACCTATGCCGGTAGTTGTTGGGAGCACTAAGCTCGAAGTTGTTGACGAGTATGTTTCGGTTTCGGTTGTCGGACTATTTGTCCCTGAAGTGGCAGTGGGCCGGCCATATAGCTCAAAGAACCGACAAGGCCTACCGGGGAGGCCTATGTTCAGCAGTGGACTTATGAAAGGCTGTAATGATGATGATGATGATGTAAAGATGTTTTTTCCACAAGAACAAAAGGAAGATAAAGTGCACATCCATAAATTGTTAGTCCAAAGTTACTAGTTTAGTTAAACAGCAATGTCCAATCAGGGCTTTTACCAAAATATGTTTGTTCTTATTATTTAATCTTGGGATATTCACAGTCGAATTTATGGATATATATCCGAATAAAGTCACAATGATGATGATTTAGGCCTGGTGTTTCATACCTTAAGTTATTTTTCACGGTCAAGCATTTCAAGAGCCAAGGAACGAATTTCTATTGACGTTCGTCGAACTGAGGGTGGGGTGGAGGGAGGTGGACTCTCCTGCGCTGTGGAAAGAGCAGCCTCTACGCCTTTGCGTAACAAATCGATCGAGCTGGAGGCGAGGATGCCTTGGAGGAAGCTGCGGAGGTTGCTCTCCCTACGCGGCTCCGGCTCTATAAAAACACTAGGGTAGGCCAGACTCGTACCAGGTGGAGTCGGGGTCAATCAATTCGGTTCTTTGACATAAGTTGAATCTAACCTATTTTAATTGTTATCTGCCCTAATAGTTACTGTTAAAATAAAACAAATCAAATATAATTAATAATTTATCAAACAATTTTATACACATATTGTATTGCTTTAATTAATTCTTCAAAAACATCTTTATGCACTATTTTTATTTTTCATCGCCAAGAATATTAAATGAGTCAGTCTGTGAAGTTTGCTTTTTAACCATCCCTATTGAACATCACTTTTAAATTTCGCCAGTAGCTTTCTATTGTTTGTGTGTGTGTCGCTGTGATTTACCTTCTTATGTATTATATATCCATATAAGGTAGGCCATCATAGGCTCTCCAAAAATCGGTATGGATTTCAGTGCCTACCTCCACAGGCTTTTGTATTAGTGTCACCAACATTTTCGCTGATCTATCATTATCAGGACACACTTCTAATCTCAAACCATCTTTCCCAGTTTCTATCATGCCCAGCACCAAGTGGCCTTCAATATGTCTCCCTCTATTGTACTTTCTTTTTCCAAATTTTACGATTTTGTTTGGACCAACAATCTTGCCGTTAACTTCTTGGTGCTCCAATTCAATTTAACAGTGGTAGAGCCACGCGGCAGCTTTTGCTGTCGCACGGATGGGCCGGCTCGAACCGGGGTGGTACCACGACCTCACAGAAAACCAGCGTGAAGTAGAGGTATACCTCTGCGTTTCGCTTGGTGAGTGCAGGTGGCCGGAGGCCCTTTTTACTGGAAATGAGGCGTTCCATCTTAGTCCTCACGGGTGACAACGCATCTACATTTTGATTTGTAATAGCTAGATGTAGATGTCTATGGACCTCAGAAACCACTTACCATCAGGTGGACTGTGTGCTCGTTTGTTACCCTTATCCTATAAAAAAAAATCATATATCCTACTACTATATAACTACTGTCTCGCGGCAGTAAGAAAACCAGTCAGTTATTGTCCTTGTTGATATAACTGTTTCTCTATCTTCACGGGCTTTCTCTAATTTTATTTTAAGATAAATATACCTTTGGCTGAATATATACATCAGTAAAAAAAAACTCGATAGACAGCCTTAATTTTCGGAAGTCTGCCGAATGATTTACTGAACTAGCATGTTGCCTTTGATGGTATTTGTGACTAAATAGTTTCTCTGCTTTGTTTTTATATTATTTATTTCTCTGAACTTTCGTTCGCACTCAGCGTTCGAGTGAAGCAACGATAAAACTTGGAGCATAAAATGAGGCAGAAAATGGTATTTATTATCTCCGTGGCTATCTTTAATTAGAGACAATTAAAAAAAAACAAATCTGTGAAATGTGGACATATGTGCAGTACGTAATCGTAAAGTTCTTAAATGGTAAAATTTTACCTGATGCCAAAACACGTCTGCTGGTATATTCAAATGTAGTTCATTCGCAGTCAAAATTAAGTTTCTCCAATCGTCATCTGTCGTCTGTTGATCACTTAAAGTTTGAGGTTTAAGCCTTGGACAGATAAGCAAGAATCGGGATCAAACTGCGATTGAGCTCAAAACTGGGTCATTCAAACTGTATCTTTTCCGAATACCCCACTCATCCTTTAACGATAAAATTCAGGCATTTCTGTTTCATCACTGTAACTTCTTCGGTACTTGCATGTAGCTCTGGGACAGCAACTTGATTAGCAACACCCAATCCCAGGTTATGTTGACTATTTTGTTATGGGTTTCGATAATAACCGGATCTTTGGTTTGAAAATATACATTGATGCGGGTAAATTTTGGCAGCGTCCAACATAAAAAATAAAAATATGTTTTGATGATGTGATCATTCAAAAGATTGTGAACGGCTTTGCAATCTTGGTCTTCCAGCCACTTATCTTCAAAGTACAATCACAAGGCGCCCCATTGCTTCATAATTCTTTTTACAACACTGGATAGAGACAACCACGTAGTAGAGCTATGCTGCAGCTATATTTTACGTGGTAGAGCCATGCTGCAGCAATATTAGTAGTATAGTTGTAGCACGAATGGGTCGGCTCGACCGGGGAAGGACCACGCTCCCACAGAATACCAGCGTAAAATAGCAGATTAACACTGATGTGTTTCGTATGGTGAATGTAGATACCCGGAGACCCTTTTTACTGGAAAAGAGGCATTCCATCTTAGTCCTCACGGGTGACAACGCAT